ATTACAATGAACAAAGTAATTATGAAATTATGAAAAAAAATAATAATAATAAGTTATTAAAACATCTAACATGGCCACCACAAACGCATTTAATTTGTCTTCCTCTTTTGCCAGCACTCTCTTCTGGCTTTTGCACACTTTGAGGTGTTCCTGGCGTTTTAATTAAAGACTGAAATTCTGCATAACGTTGCATTAAAAGCACTTGCTCTGCTTGGGAGAAAAACTGGGCGTGTTCTTTAGCCATGCTGAACAGCCAATAGCAGCGCTGCTGATCACTGGTTCTGCTATCGATACATGTCCCCTTTTAAACCAACGCGAGAACGCGCAGTTATCTCAGATAACTCAATCCAGTGATACTAATCATAAACAACAGGTGTGTTCGAAGAACCCAATTAGCCGGATCATGATTAGCACGATGATATTATCTTGGATGTCTCATTTGATCTCAGATGTTTTAAGCAACGTACGAAGAACGAGCCCCAGATGCAGGGTTCTGTCAACGATAACAGTATGTGGTTCTCTCAACGATTAACAGTTTGTTTGACCCACTTGAGTTTGCTGCACCTGTCGTCCTTCAGAGAAGACTTCTGCTCAGAGCGCTGACCACAGGGTCTTGTGACTGGAATCCACCTCTGCCTGATGAGAAATATAAGGAATGGAAGGTTTGGAGAGATTCATTAAAAGAGGTTGAATATGTCAAAATTCCTCGCATATATAAAATTAAGGCAAAGAGATGTGTGTCTTCTGTGATGCTTCCACAAGTGCTATTGCAGCTCTTGCTTACATCAGGGTTACCAATATAAGAAGTAATGTAGAAGTTCACTTCATGTCTGGAAAGTCCCCAGACTTGAGCTGTGTGTAGCTGTACTATGGAAGTAAAATAATGTCAAATGTTTTTGAAACAAAGAGCATGTTGAATTGCATCAATTGAAAAAAAAAAAAATGCATTGTGTTAACCATTGCTTTATGCTTGCATTTTAATCCATTGTGTTTTTAAAGGTAGTGTAGGTCAGAATTTAAAGGTGCCATCTGGAACTAAAAATCAAAAAATATTCCATATTCCATAACAGATGGGGGCAGTATACCTCTAGAAAATGTGTTGTGCCGCGGCCGCACACACTCACGTCTTCAAACAACACAAGCGAGCGCTGTTTTGCTCTCTTTCTCCGCATATTATTCAAATCATTTGTCACGATAGTAAAAGGTCGGAAGACCGCAGTTTCACGTGGAGCATTTGGAGATTTTTAGAGATCAGAGACTCAATGAACAACATCTCAACACTAAATGATGAAGACCGACTCATAGACGCTTGTCTCAAAAACAAGCTGTTGCATTTCGACGATATGGGAAAATAAAAGCCTGCGGGCTATTATTTTAAGTTTACGGTATTCCTTTTGTTCATATTACACTTTTATTGTTAGTTTGAATTAATTTGACAGACAGCATTCGCTGATGTTGATCAACCTAGCGCCATTCAAAGCTGCCAACTCTCACGAATTCACCGTGAGACACATGCAATTAACACTTAGCAAGCAGGTTAGTTAAGCTCTTAGATTCTGTCAATTTTATTATGCAATTCAAACAATAAATACCGTTTTGGCGCTTGTACATGTTACACCAGAGATCCCTAGCGCACGTGAACCGATCGTCTCTACTAGCTAATGGAAAAAGAACCCGAACACTGTTGAAAGATACAGTATGCTACAACTTACCAAAATGTATTCCTCATGTGTGATATCGACCAATCATTTTTTGAACTCTTCCCTGAACTGAAATGTAGTATTAGGCTGTATTTCCACACGACTGACATCAGGTTCAAGTACACACACAAGCCGGCGCGAGCGCGACTCACTCGTGTACTGCAGTTTGGCTGGTGGTAACGTTGCCCGTCCGCATACCGCCTCCCATGGCCGGAACTGGTATTACGACACCTGCCGGGCCGGGGCTAGTAATTTAGCATGCTAATTTAGGTTTATATCTCGGCAGCACTATAACTTGTCAGTTTTTTAATTACATCATTGCACTTATTTCTTCTCATTCTTTTGTTGCGTGTAGCTCATTTTTTGGATATTTTTACCTCAATTATTACAGATGGCACCTTTAAAAAAAAAACTTTTTTTCTAAATTTTTTAAACTTTCTGTATATATCAATGCATAATTAAAATCTAAGTACTCTGAAAAAGAAAGTATAAAAATCGAGTGTCTGTAGACCTCTTATGACTGTTTTAAACACAGCTCATTATTTCCATTCACTTCACCCCCTCCCTTATGGGCTCCTTCCAAAGCCACGCCCCCCAAAACACATGAACGCGCGACTCCGACAGCTGAGCTGAAGACGGATTATTTACTTGACACGAGACGAGAGGAGAGGAAGGAGTGCATGTAGTGACATGTCAGAAACACATGTAAATAAAAAAAATCTAAAGATAAACAAATAAGTTGTATTTTATTACTCACTATCAAGCTAGCATATTGATATTGGTAAAGTTTACAATATATATTTATTGATTCGCTAATGAGCTAGTTATCTATAAGGCAAAGCTAAAAACAGGTTGCATGATACACGTTTTTCCATTGCCATCATTTACACTGTGATGAAGATGAATTTCGTGTAAGATTCATAACATATGGTGTTCTGCATGTAAGTTTGCTTGATGAAAGCATTGTTGATTCTGATGAGGACTACACTCCCGAGACAAGTAAGTTACCCATAGACAGTATAAGAAAGCAAGTACCGCATCGTCAGCTCGAGGACAGATCCGTGGTCGAGGGCGAAGCAGAGGAGGTCGTGCAAGAGGCCGCGCTATTAGGGTCCAAGGAAGTAGAGGCTGAGGACGGGGTGGTCGAAGTGCAGGGCAAGGAGCACTTCTTGGACAAGAGGACCTGCATCGAGTTTTGCATCTTCAAGCTCAAACAAGGGCATGCGAACAGGTACGATCTGGATACGCGCAAGAGACCTTTCTCACAACTTCCGTATTTGTGACCGGAAATACACAATTGTCGTGGTAATCTTCTTCCGCTCCATTCATAACAAATAGCGCCGAAGGCAACTAGTGAGAGTTGTTGCGTACCGATCTTTTTGGTTATTCCCAAAAGCAGCCATACCTGTCGTTTTCATTCCTTCCCTCGTCAGTTCCCTGTCGATGAAGTTCGACGGAAATGGATTCAGGCAATCTGGCGGGATGTTATTGAGCCTGTGATCTTCTGTACTTCTCATGTCACCATTCACTAATAAGCCGTCATTGTTTGTTTATTTTTTATGTTTTGTGTATTTTTGAAGTAACGTTAGTTCATGTTCAACTTTATTAAGATATTTGTATCCAGCGGAATAAGCACATAAAAATATACACCACAATATAAAACAAGATAAATAAGAACACACAACAGTGGGCTACATATAAATTTAAAATATTAATATATACTGTAGGTGCCAGGTTTAGGTTGGTGTCTTTTATTTTGAAATTTGTTTTTTCAGTTTGTTACGTCATTTGTTGTAGGTGCATATTACCTGTTAGTTTGTGTGTGGTTAGCAGGTTGGAAGGGGGTGAGTAGCTGGGACGCTCACTTTCTGTTGACCGTTTTCATTTCATTTTAGTTTTGTTCTATTTCATTACTTTTGGTTTACTTTTCTGTCATCATCCATCATGTTCATTCCAATGTTACAATAAATCATTTGGATCTGCAGTGGAAACGCGTCACCTTTTATTCCCTCTACTCAGCCTCTTAGCGGTTACTGTTTGCCGCTACATATACCATTCTGAGTATTTAACAATCTGAGTGGACAAGGGATAAATTAATATTTGTATAATTTTTCTTCATCTTGGATCGTTCTATAGCAACAGCAGTGCAAAAAAATTCAGGATAACTGTTGAATAAAATTGACAGACTTCTTTCTGGTATTCACATCAAAATGCAGTTTATTGTAAATAATAATCCCTAAATATGAATAACTTTCCACACACTCCACCTTCTTACCTTTAATGAACGTATTGGGAAGAATGAGCTTCAGTTCTGAAATCAATAGTCATATCTTTGGTCTTAGATACATCAGCTGCAGACATGCATCACCACAGCATTTTACAAAGTCATCAACAACTGGACCATGACAAGTTTTCAAATGAGGAACTCACTCTCAGACCCGTTTTGTCCTTACATTCTTGCTAAAATAATTATAATGCAATAATAATAATTCCGCCCCTCCCTCACTTCCGGTTCTGGCGCTGGGGTTCTGAAACTGGTGGTGCTGCGGGTCTGCAGCTGGATATATCTCAAGCCTCTGGGTGCTTAATTTTAAATAAGCACCAGATGGCGTTGTTCTCGACACTCTCGAAGCTTTGAATCTTTTCCCGGAACAGTCAAGGGAAAGCCTCATTGCTTTATGAAGCTTAATTTCCCCATCCCACACATACCCACACACAGGCTCAGACTTAAAATGTGGGTTTGCCTTATATCAGGGGTTCTCAACTCCAGTCCTCATGACCCACTGCTCGGCATATTGTGTATGTCTCCCTTATTTAACACACCTGATTCAGATCTGAATCAGGTGTGTTAAATAAGGGAGACAATATGCAGAGCAGTGGGTCGCGAGGACTGGAGTTGGGAACCCCTGCCTTATATTGATTACATGGCAGGAAATGTGTTAATTACGTAAATCACTCAATAAGCACAAGTTTGTTTCTTTATAACATCAATTCTACACTCAATAAAAGATTTAATGAATGACAATAATTGTAATAAAAATCATCACACTTACAATCCCTTGAGATTATCCAGGTGTAAATCGTCATTTAGAAACAATTCAATGATTACCAAATTTACACTTTGGGCTTCAAGATATCCAGGTGTAAATGATGATTTACACCTGGATAATCTCGAGTGATGATGTGATGATCATCTGCTAAATGAGCAACAATGACCACAATTCACTCCTTCAGTCAGTGAAACTCCCACAGCCGTTCATGAGAGTTTAAATGTTGGTGATTATTCCCATCTTCCCACAGGAGAAGAAGCAAGCAGGAGGAATTACTCCAGGAGAAACAACAGACATATTATTGTAAAGATGGAGATTAAGGAAGAACCCTGCAGAATAAAAGATGAAGATACAGAGGAACAAATAGGTTGGTGTTTTCCTTCATTCTCTTTAATGACTGATGAGGAACATTAAGATGAACGTGACATAACAATAACATCCAAAACTAGTAAAAAATTGAGATTTTGAACAATGTTGATTTTTGTTTCTCGATTATCCTTTTATTAAATAATGGGAATTCAATGTGTTTATTGTAGATCTGATGGAAGTGAATGAAGAAAAACTGCATCAGTTTCCAAAACCTCAGCATTTCAAAAATGAAGATGGAAATGCTGTCGTCTCAAAGACTGAAGAGAATTTCACACAGAAACAAGCTGGGAAATCTGGAGTCGAAGGATCTTTAACCTGTTCTGAGTGTGGAAAGAGTTTCAGATATAAATCATATCTGAACACACACATGATGATTCACACTGGAGAAAAGCCTTTTACATGCACTCAGTGTGGAAAGAGTTTCATTCTTAAAGGACAACTAAATAATCACATGAAAATTCACACTGGAGAAAAACCTTTCACATGCTCTCAGTGTGGAAAGAGTTTCAGTCAGAACTATTATCTCAATGAGCATCTGCTCCGTCACGCTGGAGTGAGATCATTCAGCTGTGATCAGTGTGAGAAAACATTTGTTTTTGAATCGGGCTTAAGAAGTCACCTTAAAGTTCATACTGGTGTGAAGCCTCACTTTTGTTCTGTATGTGGAAAGAGTTTTTCACATCTTGCATCTTTAAAACAGCATGAGCGTCTTCATACTGGTGTGAGACCTTATGTGTGCTGTGACTGTGGAAAGACATTTATTACATCAAGCGCATTAATAAGACACGAGAGAGTTCACACTGGACAGAGACCGTACAAGTGTTCACACTGTGGAAAGAGTTTCTCTCGGTCAGAAACCCTGAAAGATCATGAGAGAATTCATACTGGAGAGAAACCGCACCAGTGCTCTTCGTGTGGGAAGAGTTACAGACATTTATCTGCTCTACAGAAACATAAGAAAAATCATGAAGGTGTCTAAGTGAGCAAAGTTCACTTCCATATCTTGTAAATAAACAAAAGATGGAATAACCTTTACTACAGTCATTTAAAACTAAAATTAGTTTTGAAATTTGATTGTTTGACAAGAGGAACCGGTTTAAATGGTTGTGAACTGCATTTTAAGTGTTGCATGTGTTGTTCTTCCGACACCTGAATTGATCCTCTGTTGTTACTGTATACAAGATGAACTTAACAGTAAAGCAACAATGTGAAAATACTCGCCTCAGTGTCATCGCTCAAGCAGTGCATTGTCATCTCATATGGAACAAGAATAATAGTTCAGAAAACTATTATGTCGCCATAAAACACTATGATTTATGAAGGGATGTGTTTTGTTTCTTTCTGGTTTCATTATTTTCATTGTACATGTGAGGCATTTGTGATAGGCCTACAATGGCAACAATAGTCTATCAAATATCATTCATATCACAAAAAACTTGTTTTTTTAGTCTCGCTGTTTAGACGTGATCCATTGTACATTTAACATCGTATTCAGCTAATGAACCAGTTGTAAACACTAATTATTTTTGGTAATATGGCTCCAGTTGTTTTTCTATGTATATTTAAAGATGCGATTCCTCTCATAATATGGACTATGAAAACATATCACTGAGAGAAGAAGAACTTGTCTACAGCTGCTATCTATTTATGAAATAAGGTAATTTAGGCTCTTACATTAGCTATATGGGTTATATATGTTATATTTTGACAAACAATTTTGTCTAAAAAAGTAATGAAAATTAACTTATTCTGAGCAGACTTTGTGTACTAGTCGAAACATGATAAATGAAACAGTTTAACTGAATGAATTCGCTATGTTTATCAGACTAATTTTATTGGGAGAAATCTATATCAGTGGTCGAATGTATAAAGCCACTCAGAGTAACATTTTAGTCTTTAGTCTGTCAAAATTCTAAGAATCACATAATTCTTATTCCTAGCCTTTTTGAAAATTCAGGGCTATAAAGAAAATTAAAAAAAAAAAAAAACACTGGCAAAATAGTGAGTTTTAAATTTGTATTTTTTCCCCCCTCTAAAACAAATTTTCTATTATTTCAGCTCTCATGAACGGCTGTGGGAGCTTCACTGACTGAAGGAGTGAATTGTGGTCGTTGTTGCTCATTTAGCAGATGATCATCACACTTACAATCACTCAAGATTAGATTTGTTTTTGTTTTTCTTTGATCAAATGAACTATACGCTCAGAGGAATATATAGTTTATATTTAACATGTCATGTAAACCCAATCCTTAGATCAACATACACTGCACACACACTCCTCGTCTCCCACTCTCACACGTTTATGCAGTCCACAGTCTAGCTTGTCCGTCTATTCAAGAATGAATCACAAAACACAATGATTAGGCTACAAGAATCATATTAAATATTATTATCTTAGTCTTAACATTTAAAAAAGATATCAGAGAACTTCAGTTCTGTGTTAATATTACTGTAATATTGTTTCATTCGCCAGGGTTAATTTAGTTGCTGATTGCACATTTTCTTTTATATAACGCATAATAAGCAAAAGGCAAGTGTATATTCTCCAAATGTTCCCGCATAATAGGCCTATATAGCAACTACACGAGAACGAAAACAAAAATTAACTTTGTTAACTGATAAATTGATAGATGTAAACATATAAATAATTCAAATTTGGCCGTATGATTTTTCTTAATTTAACAAGCATTTGTTTCCTCAGTCTCGTATGGTCCTTGTTTGTTGTGGCAGATCACGAGTAATCTTAAACCTGTCATGATTCTGCCTTCTTGTCCTTTTCTTTAGTCGTGAGGCAGGACAACACAGTCTCATGAAGATGCGTATCTATACCACGAGTGTCATTTCTCGTGGCATTTATACGCCAAAAGTGTTTTTTTCGTGTATATGGTACGCACTAAAAAACCCTGGGTTAGGTTTAGGGGGAGGGGGTGGGGAGTTCGTGCGTATTATACGCAAAAAAGTGCGTATCATATGTACGCGAAAATCGCGTGCCAAATACACGCAAAAACTGTTTTTGGCGTATAAATGCCACGAGAAATGACATTCGTGCCATAGACACAAACTTTCATGAGATCGGGCTGGGCAGGATCGTGACATAATTGTTTTATGTGCAAGCGCATGGCCTGTTTGGGCCATGTGCTTGTGTTGTCTCGTTATGTTACCCCGCCCCCTTGTTATCCTCGTCTTGTCATTATTGTCTAGTCAGTTTTGTCCTTGTCATTAGTGTTCCCCTCTATTATTATCTCCTTGTGTTTGCTGTCCTGTGTCGGTTCATTGTATGACATTGTCATCCGTTGTGTGAGTCCAGCTGTAAGTAATCTGTTGAGTCTGTTATTCAAGAAGTGTCTGCTCCTGTTGTAGTTGTTTACCGTCTAAATATTTGTCTGGCCTTGTCTTGTTTTGCCCCATCGTGGGCTTTTGTTTTCTGTTTTGTCCTTTAATAAATCCTGTGAAAGTCATTTGCTGTCTGCGCTTGGGTTCATCCCTCATCCACATGACAAAACCAAACCATAAACCAAATAATCTGTTAGTAATCGGCTTGATGACAAATTGACGGCTCAATCGGAGAGAAAAGCCTTCATGTAAAAACCTTATTCGTTCAGATTGAGCTTGATTCTAGTGAAATTTCGATTGGATTGAAAGGGGTGGTTTATTCCTTTTCATAACCCAGTCGAGAGAACAGGTATTGGGTTGAAAACCGAGGCCGAATGACTGCGCATGTGCAATGACGTTGAAATAGCTTAATAAAGTATGACACACGGAACAAGCTGTTCTTCCTGGTGAATAAAGTGTCATATTAATTCAGCATTCATTATTTTCAGCATTATTACTTTTTAATAGTATTCAAAATCAGTTGTATTATTATTCTTTATTTGTCTCCATCTACATTTGTAATCTTTGTATTTTGTGAATCAGTGTTCTTGAATACATGTGTGTGAGAGAGACATTGGGACATGCATGAAGTGGCATGTATGTGCAATTTTTTCTTAGTCAAGTTCTGTTTCTCCCCCTGATTTTTGTTTTTTCAAAATACTCTATTTTCTGCTGAAGACTCATATAGGGAACAAATGCAACAAATAAAAAGCAAAAGTTGTCTACACTGCCCACCCCTGTATCACTGCTGTGTGCAGACTCTTCTGTAGGCCTTTCTGTACTACATGTGGACTCTTGTCAGAAATAATGGCATAGGCACAAGTAGAAATCAATTAAAGCCATCAATTAAATTAAAGTACTTCCTCCAAAGGACAGTCATCTGAGAAGTTTTCTTCACTCTCCAGTGCAATGTGATTGATAACTCATGGCAAAATATTTTTTACATTAACATAAGTTTATCAGTTTTTACTTTCACAAGACAAAGCAATTTATCATTACTCAAGATTTAACAGTTGAAATGACTAAACCAGCCAATTTGGATTATTGGTCTACTTCATTTAATGCAGCAACAAATTATTTCACAGTGTACAAAGATAATTTAAATCTCATTTCCCAGTAATGAAGGTGTTGCTGCTACTGGTCCCTGATGTGGCTCTGGAAGAACTGAACCCAGGGATGCCCTTCACAGGGCAATTCACATTCAACCCAAGGGTCAGCTCTTCTGCCAGGGTCAGGAGCATCATTATTATTATTTTTTCTCAGCATTTCTCCTGTTTGCTTTTTATAAACAGACAATCATTTATTTAACAGTGCCTTTTTAAAAGAGACTAGTAGGCCTATAAGGCCTAAAATTACCATTAAGTAGAATATTTTTGTACTTCACTTTCACCATGTCCATTATTATAGTGTGGTGACTCGACATTACATTGAACAAAGTAATTATGAAATTATGAAAATAAAAATAAAATAATAATAAGTTATTAAAACATCTAACATGGCCACCACAAACGCATTTAATTTGTCTTCTAGTTTTGCCAGCACTCTCTCCTGGCTTTTGCACACTTTGAGGTGTTCCCTGGCGTTTTAATTAAACACTGAAATTCGGCATAACCTTGCATTAAAAGCGCTTGCTCTGCTTGGAGAAAAATGGGCGTGTTCTTTGGCCATGCTGAACAGCCAATAGCAGCGTTGCTGATCACTGGTTCTGCTATCGATACATGTCCCCTTTTTAACCAACGCGAGAACGCGCAGTTATCTCAGATAACTCAATCCAGCGATACTAATCATAAACAACAGGTGTGTTCGAAGAACCCAATTAGCCGGATCATGATTAGCACGATGATATCATCTTAGATGTCTCATTTGATCTCGGATGTTTTAAGCAACGTACGAAGAACGAGCCCCCGGTCTCTAGCTGTTGCTTTGGTGCTTGTCAACACGCATTTGCACCCCCTGCTGGTAAAGACAACTAACGGCAGATGGAGAATATGCTCGGCAATCCACTGCTTTTCCTGCAGTTCCTGGATGTCAACGTAGTATTTTCTGTTGAATTTGAACCACTACATTTGTGGAAGCGAATGTTCAAGGCAAAATTAAATGAACTGAAAATTGCCTGTTGAATATTATAGGTTGTATTTTTAAACATTTAGAAAATTTTGTAAGTGAAATATGAAATGTGATATGGATTATTTAATTTTTAATAATGCAAATGTGTTTGAAATGTTTTTAATTGAAATATTCACTGCTTAAATATTCAACCATGTTGAATTTTAGCCCATAAAAATGCAAGCCTGGAAAATACAATGGATTAAAATGCAAGCATGGTTAACGCAATGCTTTTTTTTCAATTGGTGCAATTCACATACCCACACACAGGCTGTGGGTTTATCTTATATGGATTACATGGCTACTCAAGGAAATGTGTTAATTACTTAAAGGGCACCTATTATGCCCCTTTTTACAAGATGTAATATTGGTCTCTGCCAGATGACACTGTCCCTAGAATGTATTTGTGAAGTTTCAGCTCAAAATACCCCACAGTTAATTTATTATAACCATTTGAAAATGTCATTTCGGGGCCTGCTTAAAAATCCTATAGTATCCAGCTGCAGACCCGCAGCACCACCAGTTTCAGAACCCCAACGCCAGAACCGGAAGTAAGGGGCGGAGTTACGTTCTAACCAACACCAGCGCGAGGAACGTAAGTGAGGGGCGGAGCTTAGGTTTGAAACCTAATAACGCCACCTTACGTAATTTGGAGGGTATTTTACACATGAAACAGCTTTTATTGAACAAGAAACGTCCTAGTCCTACTCTCTACGTTATGATACTACATTACAGTACAATAAGCATTTTAAAACATTGATTTTGTGTAATATAATTGTATATGGCAGTTATTCGTTTCATTGTATTATGAGTTACTTCCTGATCATGATGGTGAAAAAATAATACTTGAAACTTATGGGCATTTTAATGTACAACAGTTTCATAATTTTAGCTAAGCAGTTTATACATACGTGTAGATTTAGGAAGATAAGACCTTTTTTGTTTTTATTAACTTTGTATAATAAAGCTTTAAAAGATATAAAACAAGACAAGCATTAAGGTTTTCAAAATTATGCACAATTTGATAACTCATTAGACCTCTGTGATATTTTACGTTCTATTTATTTATTTATTGTGTTTATACAAATCTTAAATTGTTTTTATTATATTGAAGATATGTATTTGTAAGATGATTTTGATTGTTTAATAAAAAAAACGCATGGGTATTTTTTTTATAAAATATACTTTATTTCACAAGAAGATGTGCAGCATGCATTTTTCGTGTAAAATAATAATGTCAAAATCTAAAAAAGAGAGAAAATTCGGCATTGTTTTGTTAAAAATCTATACAAAATGACCAATTTAACCCAAGCTTGTTTTATCACAACTATCTTATAAATTTAACTTACAATGTATAAATTTAACTTACAACGTAGCCTATCAAATGAGGAACTCACTCTCAGGCCCGTTTTGTCCTTACATTCTTGCTAAAATAATTATAATGCAATAATAATAATTCCGCCCCTCCCTCACTTCCGGTTCTGGCGCTGGGGTTCTGAAACTGGGGTTCTGAAACTGGTGGTGCTGCGGGTCTGCAGCTGGATATATCTCAAGCCCCTGGGTGCTTAATTTTAAATAAGCACCAGATGGCGTTGTTCTCGACACTCTCGAAGCTTTGAATCTTTTACCGGAACAGTCAAGGGAAAGCCTCATTGCTTTATGAAGCTTCATTTCCCCATCCCACACATACCCACACACAGGCTCAGACTTAAAATGTGGGTTTGCCTTATATCAGGGGTTCTCAACTCCAGTCCTCATGACCCACTGCTCGGCATATTGTGTATGTCTCCCTTATTTAACACACCTGATTCAGATCTGAATCAGGTGTGTTAAATAAGGGAGACAATATGCAGAGCAGTGGGTCGCGAGGACTGGAGTTGGGAACCCCTGCCTTATATTGATTACATGGCTACTCAAGGAAATGTGTTAATTACGTAAATCACTCAATAAACACAAGTTTGTTTCTTTGTAACATCAATTCTACACTCAATGAAAGATTTAATGAATGACAATAATTGTAAATATAAATAAAAATCATCACACTTACAATCCCTTGAGATTATCCAGGTGTAAATCGTCATTTAGAAACAATTCAATGATTACCAAATTTACACTTTGGGCTTCAAGCTCAAAGTGTAAATTTGTAATCATTGAATTGTTTCTAAATGACGATTTACACCTGGATAATCTCAAGGGATTGTAAGTGTGATGATTTTATTTATTTATTTATTTTTTTGTTTCTAAATGATGATTTACACCTGGATAATCTCGAGTGATGATGTGATGATCATCTGCTAAATGAGCAACAATGACCACAATTCACTCCTTCAGTCAGTGAAACTCCCACAGCCGTTCATGAGAGTTTAAATGTTGGTGATTATTCCCATCTTCCCACAGGAGAAGAAGCAAGCAGGAGGAATTACTCCAGGAGAAACAACAGACATATTATTGTAAAGATGGAGATTAAGGAAGAACCCTGCAGAATAAAAGATGAAGATACAGAGGAACAAATAGGTTGGTGTTTTCCTTCATTCTCTTTAATGACTGATGAGGAACATTAAGATGAACGTGACATAACAATAACATCCAAAACTAGTAAAAAATTGAGATTTTGAACAATGTTGATTTTTGTTTCTCGATTATCCTTTTATTAAATAATGGGAATTCAATGTGTTTATTGTAGATCTGATGGAAGTGAATGAAGAAAAACTGCATCAGTTTCCAAAACCTCAGCATTTCACAAATGAAGATGGAAATGCTGTCGTCTCAAAGACTGAAGAGAATTTCACACAGAAACAAGCTGGGAAATCTGGAGTCGAAGGATCTTTAACCTGTTCTGAGTGTGGAAAGAGTTTCAGATATAAATCATATCTGAACACACACATGATGATTCACACTGGAGAAAAGCCTTTTACATGCACTCAGTGTGGAAAGAGTTTCATTCTTAAAGGACAACTAAATAATCACATGAAAATTCACACTGGAGAAAAACCTTTCACATGCTCTCAGTGTGGAAAGAGTTTCAGTCAGAACTATTATCTCAATGAGCATCTGCTCCGTCACGCTGGAGTGAGATCATTCAGCTGTGATCAGTGTGAGAAAACATTTGTTTTTGAATCGGGCTTAAGAAGTCACCTTAAAGTTCATACTGGTGTGAAGCCTCACTTTTGTTCTGTATGTGGAAAGAGTTTTTCACATCTTGCATCTTTAAAACAGCATGAGCGTCTTCATACTGGTGTGAGACCTTATGTGTGCTCTGACTGTGGAAAGACATTTATTACATCAAGCGCATTAATAAGACACGAGAGAGTTCACACTGGACAGAGACCGTACAAGTGTTCACACTGTGGAAAGAGTTTCTCTCGGTCAGAAACCCTGAAAGATCATGAGAGAATTCATACTGGAGAGAAACCGCACCAGTGCTCTTCGTGTGGGAAGAGTTACAGACATTTATCTGCTCTACAGAAACATAAGAAAAATCATGAAGGTGTCTAAGTGAGCAAAGTTCACTTCCATATCTTGTAAATAAACAAAAGATGGAATAACCTTTACTACAGTCATTTAAAACTAAAATTAGTTTTGAAATTTGATTGTTTGACAAGAGGAACCGGTTTAAATGGTTGTGAACTGCATTGTAAGTGTTGCATGTGTTGTTCTTCCGACACCTGAATTGATCCTCTGTTGTTACTGTATACAAGATGAACTTAACAGTAAAGCAACAATGTGAAAATACTCGCCTCAGTGTCATCGCTCAAGCAGTGCATGGTCATCTCATATGGAACAAGAATAATAGTTCAGAAAACTATTATGTCGCCATAAAACACTATGATTTATGAAGGGATGTGTTTTGTTTCTTTCTGGTTTCATTATTTTCATTGTACATGTGAGGCATTTGTGATACAATGGCAACAATAGTCTATCAAATATCATTCATATCACAAAAAACTTGTTTTTTTAGTCTCGCTGTTTAGACGTGATCCATTGTACATTTAACATCGTATTCAGCTAATGAACCAGTTGTAAACACTAATTATTTTTGGTAATATGGCTCCAGTTGTTTTTCTATGTATATTTAAAGATGCGATTCCTCTCATAATATGGACTATGAAAACATATCACTGAGAGAAGAAGAACTTGTCTACAGCTGCTATCTATTTATGAAATAAGGTAATTTAGGCTCTTACATTAGCTATATGGGTTATATATGTTATATTTTGACAAACAATTTTGTCTAAAAAAGTAATGAAAATTAACTTATTCTGAGCAGACTTTGTGTACTAGTCGAAACATGATAAATGAAACAGTTTAACTGAATGAATTCGCTATGTTTATCAGACTAATTTTATTGGGAGAAATCTATATCAGTGGTCGAATGTATAAAGCCACTCAGAGTAACATTTTAGTCTTTAGTCTGTCAAAATTCTAAGAATCACATAATTCTTATTCCTAGCCTTTTTGAAAATTCAGGGCTATAAAGAAGAAAAAAAAAAAAAAAAAACACTGGCAAAATAGTGAGTTTTAAATTTGTATTTTTCCCCCCTCTAAAACAAATTTTCTATTATTTCAGCTCTCATGAACGGCTGTGGGAGCTTCACTGACTGAAGGAGTGAATTGTGGTCGTTGTTGCTCATTTAGCAGATGATCATCACACTTACAATCACTCAAGATTAGATTTGTTTTTGTTTTTCTTTGATCAAATGAACTATACGCTCAGAGGAATATATAGTTTATATTTAACATGTCATGTAAACCCAATCCTTAGATCAACATACACTGCACACACACTCCTCGTCTCCCACTCTCACACGTTTATGCAGTCCACAGTCTAGCTTGTCCGTCTATTCAAGAATGAATCACAAAACACAATGATTACAAGAATCATATTAAATATTATTATCTTAGTCTTAACATTTAAAAAAGATATCAGAGAACTTCAGTTCTGTGTTAATATTACTGTAATATTGTTTCATTCGCCAGGGTTAATTTAGTTGCTGATTGCACATTTTCTTTTATATAACGCATAATAAGCAAAAGGCAAGTGTATATTCTCCAAATGTTCCCGCATAATAGGCCTATATAGCAACTACACGAGAACGAAAACAAAAATTAACTTTGTTAACTGATAAATTGATAGATGTAAACATATAAATAATTCAAATTTGGCCGTATGATTTTTCTTAATTTAACAAGCATTTGTTTCCTCAGTCTCGTATGGTCCTTGTTTGTTGTGGCAGATCACGAGTAATCTTAAACCTGTCATGATTCTGCCTTCTTGTCCTTTTCTTTAGTCGTGAGGCAGGACAACACAGTCTCATGAAGATGCGTATCTATACCACGAGTGTCATTTCTCGTGGCATTTATACGCCAAAAGTGTTTTTTTCGTGTATATGGTACGCACTAAAAAACCCTGGGTTAGGTTTAGGGGGGAGGGGGGTGGGGAGTTCGTGCGTATTATACGCAAAAAAGTGCGTATCATATGTACGCGAAAATCGCGTGCCAAATACACGCAAAAACTGTTTTTGGCGTATAAATGCCACGAGAAATGACATTCGTGCCATAGACACAAACTTTCATGAGATCGGGCTGGGCAGGATCGTGACATAATTGTTTTATGTGCAAGCGCATGGCCTGTTTGGGCCATGTGCTTGTGTTGTCTCGTTATGTTACCCCGCCCCCTTGTTATCCTCGTCTTGTCATTATTGTCTAGTCAGTTTTGTCCTTGTCATTAGTGTTCCCCTCTATTATTATCTCCTTGTGTTTGCTGTCCTGTGTCGGTTCATTGTATGACATTGTCATCCGTTGTGTGAGTCCAGCTGTAAGTAATCTGTTGAGTCTGTTATTCAAGAAGTGTCTGCTCCTGTTGTAGTTGTTTACCGTCTAAATATTTGTCTGGCCTTGTCTTGTTTTGCCCCATCGTGGGCTTTTGTTTTCTGTTTTGTCCTTTAATAAATCCTGTGAAAGTCATTTGCTGTCTGCGCTTGGGTTCATCCCTCATCCACATGACAAAACCAAACCATAAACCAAATAATCTGTTAGTAATCGGCTTGATGACAAATTGACGGCTCAATCGGAGAGAAAAGCCTTCATGTAAAAACCTTATTCGTTCAGATTGAGCTTGATTCTAGTGAAATTTCGATTGGATTGAAAGGGGTGGTTTATTCCTTTTCATAACCCAGTCGAGAGAACAGGTATTGGGTTGAAAACCGAGGCCGAATGACTGCGCATGTGGAATGACGTTGAAATAGCTTAATAAAGTATGACACACGGAACAAGCTGTTCTTCCTGGTGAATAAAGTGTCATATTAATTCAGCATTCATTATTTTCAGCATTATTACTTTTTAATAGTATTCAAAATCAGTTGTATTATTATTCTTTATTTGTCTCCATCTACATTTGTAATCTTTGTATTTTGTGAATCAGTGTTCTTGAATACATGTGTGTGAGAGAGACATTGGGACATGCATGAAGTGGCATGTGTGTGTGTGTGTGTGTGTGTATCTCCTATGCCGACATATGAAATAAATTAAAGAGAGCTGTTGGCAAAATAACTCTGGGTGTCTGATCCCGTGAATTGAACAACAGTGGGGAAGCTTTTCTAAATTTCTAAATCTACATTGTCCTTTCACTCAGTGTCTGTAAACTGGAGAAGGACAACGTCCCACCAGTCCTTGTTTCAGATTCTCATCCACAGACGACTGGTTTTGAGCATTTTGTTTGATAATTATCTATTATAAAATCTATCTAATTTAAAATAGTTGTATAAAACCTGATGCTTACACATGGCACTATCCACTGTCCATTTAAAGAAAAATACTTACTTCCTTGGTACGTACATATAAAGCATCAGTGAAAACTGAAAAGCATTCCTTTCCTTATAAAGAACAAGCCAGCTGTATAACAGTTAATGCACAGATCATCATTGGAAAACCTTTGAATGAGAATTCTTCTATGCAAAATATTGCTCATCTCATATCTCTCCTCAGCACAACACACTCTGACTTCACAAAATACATTACACAAAATTATTATAAAGTTTATAAAAAATAATACTGCAAAAAAAGTCTTCAGTAGGAGAATGGTTATTATGAGCAACAGCGAGAAACTCTTTATATCTGTATGGATTTAAACAAATCCATTCTGATATGAAGTTTGTGATAAACGTGCGCATTAACCTGATGACTTGTTTAGCGTTCATGTAAACACACAAGTTCAGATTCATCAACTGGAATTAATTAATTCTGATTTCTAAAAAAGAAAAATGATGCATGTAAGCAAAGCCAAACAGCCCAGAGTGAGGTTATTATCAGAAATGCACTCTATATTCCCAGCACTGTTAAACTATTCAGTTCAGAACCTGAAAGAATATGTACAAAATCGGTTTATTTTCAAGTCAATGTGTGACCGCAGGAAAATGAAACAGAGGACCAGGAACAATAAATCAGGTTATTTGTTTTATTTGTTTATTCTCTCTCTCTCTCTCTCTCTCTCTCTCTCTCTCTCTCTCTCTCTCTCTCTCTCTCTCTCTCTCTCTCTCTCTCTCTCTCTCTCTCTCTCTCTCTCTCTCTCTCTCTTTTCACAATTTACACGAGATCAAAATATTTGTTGTCTCTCGATCTGCATTGACCACCATCCGATATTATCCCGAAATGATGTCCCATGCCATGGTGGTCCACCGGAAGGGGAGGGACTTATAGGCTCTCTCGCACATCCACGCAATCCTGTTTCAACATCAAAATCCTTATGGAGAAAAACTGAGATTCGATCCATCTTCCAGCGAACAGTAAATCTGCAACTTTATACAAACGTTTACATAGATCTGTAGGCTACCTGATGATGCCGAATTACTCGATCGAACAGCAAAGCATAACTGTGAGACTTCTTTCTTCTTTGTAGTGATGTGTGGTTCGTGAACAAATCGTTCGTTTGACCGGTTCTTTTTAGTGAACCGGTTGAATCAGTTCACCAAATAGGACTGAATCGTTCATAACAGTTCGCGTCGTTAGTCAGCGCTGATCTACAGTTTTCTAAAGTTACTCAATTTCGGGAAAGCCTTTCTAAACGACTATTTGCATCTGAATAATCTCGAGTGATTATAAGTGTGATGATCATCTGCTAAATGAGCAACAACGACCACAATTCACTCCTTCAGTCTGTGAAGCTCCCACAGCCGTTCATGAGAGTTTAAATGCTGAATATTCCCATCTTCCCATAGGAGAAAAAGCAAGCAGGAGGAATTACTCCAGGAGAAACTACGGACATACTATTGGTAAGATGGAGATTAAGAAAGAACCCTGCAGAATAAAAGATGAAGATACAGAGGAACAAATAGGTTGGTGTTTTCCTTCATTCTATTTAACAGGCTTGAAAATTGGTCAGGGGTGAGACGATATTACCCCTCTGGGGGCTGGGAGAAAATCTGAGTATCAACCGATACCGATCCGATACCAGTGCAGAAAAAAAAAAAAAAATCAAGTATAGTATGTCGAACTGATAATCACTCGTCTGTGTGTTAAACACAATCTACTTAATACAGACAACTTCATTATAAAGAAAAACAGCAAATAAAACAAATATGACCATAACCTGTGACAAAAATTATATTATAAACTAGATTAGTGGACAACTCAGCAAAACTTAGCCTAGAAAAATCACAAGTGCACAAAATCTGAACATTTATTGAAAAAAACATTCCTATTAGTGGGGAACAAATAAAGAGAAAAAAGTATAGTTCTAAATCTGTTAAAACGTTACACATTGCTCTTTGAATTGTTTGTAAAATACATTAATAAAACACAACATAAAAATCAGAAAGATTAATAATTATATATAAGAAGAATAAATGCTTTCAATAATTGTAAAATAAAAGAATAAATGCTTTAAATAATTTTTCATTGTGCAAAAGTATTAGCTTTTTATTATCTATTATCTATAAGTAAATCTACTGTTAGCAAAACTCGCAACATTAGTAACTGCACTCACAACTGCCGATTCCCATACCTACAGGGTACGCAGTAATACGAGTGATTAAGTCAAGTCAAGTCACATTTATAGCGCTTTTCACAATACAGATTGTATCAAAGCAGCTTCACGGTGATAACATGAAAGTAGTACAACACAGATCAATAATATTGCTAAACACTAAATAACCCCAACTGAGCAAGCCAAAAGCAAGCCATAAGCAAGGCGACAGTGGCAAGGAACCAAAACTCCATCAGATTGGATGGAGAAAAAACCTTGGGAGAACCCAGGCTCAGTCGGGGGCCAGTTCTCCTCTGGCTTACATTCATATTGTTTATATATAAATATCAAATATAGATATTGTTTATGTATGAAACGGTGCCATAACATATCACAGGCGTTGAGTCGTCTCTTCACAGGCGCTGGTCTTCTCATCACAGGCGTTGGGGCATCCGAAATCCCCGTGAGAGGCTGGATACAAAACTGGACCTGACGAACGCCATTTTTCTCGGGACAAGTGTCTCAAGATAACAGCAGAAAGGCAGATGGGAAATAATTAGCATAGCTGATGTTCATAATGAATTGTCATTATAATCGTCATTTAAAATACCAAAGCGGTTCAAAAACAATGAAAACAATTCATATTTACAAGTTACAAAGGGCGCAGCCATCTTGAATTCCGAAAACGCATCATAATATGTGAACGCACTAACAGCATGCTCCTGCACCGCAACACACACTGCAAACGGGTGTGAAACAGACGTTAGATCCACCTACAGTTCTTAGAAACTTAGATGTGTTTAAGAACTCTTTTTTTTCGTACAACAGCAGCACTCATCTTGTTTGTTTGATGCGGATGACCAGTCGTAGACCGGAAACTGATATGCCGACTATAAGGGCGTCGCACACCAGACGAGAAGCTCAGCGCCACATCTTTAAAATTCGAACACATTATTCTCTATGAGTGTACACACACCGGCGGCGCCATTCGGCGTCTGTCCGCAGTGCCCAGCAACGGCTCAGGACCGTGTTCAAAATCCTGCTGCGCTACAGAGAGCCATTTACATAGTTTTATATAAAATTTTAATTATTTTTGTCTCAAATCGTTGCTAATGTATCCTGCAATATGCATTTAGTTTTGCATCCATTTACAGAAATCAGCTGCTTGAATGACAATTGCTGATGTTATTGGATTTTCAGGTGAGATTCTCGATTCATTCAGTTAAAGGGGGGGTTGACTGCTTTTTTTCTTTGCGTGATTGTATTTGTGGGGTGCAATATAACATGTATTTGTGGTTTTTCTTTTTTTAAAAGTCTTATCTTTCATAAACTTCACCTTTATTGTCAGCCGCGCTCTCCTCTGTCCCCTGAACGAGCGGTTCACTTCCTGAGTCTATGAAAACACTCCCTCAGAAACACGTAGTGGGCTCAGATTGGTTAGTTTGGCCCGGTGTGTTGTGATTGGCTAAACTGTCGCTCACGTTGTCCGGAAGGTTAACGCCCATTACCTTTACCTTTAATTTGCTACATTTTTTAACTTTATACACGTTTATTTTACACAATAGCATCTGATTGGCAACAATAGCAACTGAATGGCTACTAATGATATACTCAAACAGCGTTGGCATGTTTACGTTCTTGATCAAATAGAAAATAACGTCATAAAGCATATATACATGAAAAATACGTTTAAAACATTTGTACTTATACGAAATTTAGGTCCATAATGTTTGTTCGCATTTATTGTAGACACAAAATAGCATAACTAGTAGCCTAGTGGCTATAAAGCTAGCGCTGGCATTTGAAAAAAATAAAACACAAGGCTACGTCTGGAGTTATACATGCATGCAAATACATTTAAAAAGTCTTAGCCTACTTACAGGTTGTGGCCCTAACAACTGCTGCCTCTTGTTTTAAAGTGGGAACTGCTTCATGTCAGTAACAGTTTCTTGTTGAACTTGTGGAGATTCTGGAAACTGTCTTCCGTAAAATGCGCAGCACAGAACATAAACACATAAATTGTATCCATTGTTGAGGAAGTATAGCGTCCATGGGAAGCCCGAACACAAAAGACCTGACAGCTGGGTGAACACAACACACTCGACGAGCCGACGAGCCTCAGAAATATGCGCATGCCAGAGCCATGTATTGCTGGCGCATGCCATTTTCTGCATATTCTGAGGGAGGGGTTGATGCAAATGTGTGGGTCAGTGACGTACCATAACCCAGCTGTAGTCCCAATCGAGTCGTTTTTGTAGGCAATATACTTCCTGATTTTTAAAAGACGATATCTCTGCTTACACTGAACTTTCAGCACTGCAACTTTGCAGATACTGTACATGCACCAACAGCAACATTATACACTATTTAAAATGAAAAAGTGAAATCGCAGTCAACCCCCCTTTAACAGATGCTCTGAGGTAAAGTTTTTAGACTGCAGACTAAATAACAATTGTATTTAATTGTACAGTACAATCATAACAGACATTACCTTCATTTCATGTCATTAAACATAACAATATTACTGCTGGCCATACACTGATGAGAAAGTGCGCGTCCAGTGTGGGATACTTGGAGTTGTCCTACGTGGCGCTGCGCTTCTCGTCCGGTGTGCAACCCCCTAAGTCTATCAAGTTTATGACCAACTTCTAAAAACACATTTAACCAAAGTTTTTGTAATGAACCACAATCCCAAACTGGTAGTTTGATTTTCTGAGTATTGAATTGTTTACCTAAAGTAATCTTGTTTGACTTTAATTCACATCATGTCTTTTTTTTAATATTACTTTTTCTAAAATTATAGTCCTACTTAAAAAAATAATCCCAATATATCGCCTTATGGACAGTATCCAAATATATTGCAATATATTGAATCGTGACCCATGTATCGTGATACGTATCGTATTGCCAATACACAGCACTATTATTTAGTTTACACTACTACATAATACTAGTTATAATATTAATCCCATGGCAGTAAAAGCAACTTTCATAATTAGTTTCGTATTCATTTCTATACTTGAAAGAGATCACATGATATTTTATTTTGACGGAAACGGCATCGATCTTTTATTTTGGCGAAAAACACGGTTTAGACTCATCTCATTACAATTCTAATAAAATACGTAATCGTCAAATATCCAGATGTGGAAATAATGAGTAACTGGGTAGTGGGTTCCTAAATATCGTAAAACTTCATATAATAGCGAGTCCCAAATAGAAGCCTGTCTCTTTTACACGCCTGGGGTGTCTGAAGGTTTGGGTAAATAAAAGCCGGTCTCAAATAGAGGCCGGGTGTGCTTTTTAGTTTCGGTTTGTTAATCTTCTAAAACCGTCAGATCGTTCTCTTTTTGGCGGTAGCCAAAGCAAATTTTTTGTCCCGCCAAAGCCTATTTTGATCGGTGAGTGAACAGAATGACTGCTGGGAGGGGGTGCTCTCTCCCTCGCGCATATTAATCAAATAAATTGACACGATAGTAAAAGGTTGGAAGACTGCAGTTTCACATGGACCATTTCGATATTTTTAGAGATTAGAGAGACTATGAACAACATCTCAACACTAAATTATAAAGGCCGGCCTCATATTGGCTAGACGTCTCCGGTGAGGTTTGACGATTTGGGAAAATAAAAGCCCGGGCTATTATTTGAAGTTTTACGATAGCCTGTTCTGAAAGTAGCCTAGTTCTGCTTACCACAGTTCTCTGCAGTCACTCATATCTCTCCTTATCCTCCTCTTTCTTTTTTTACATGCTATTTCTCTGCACATTCCTTGCGTTTCTTCTCCACTATTTTGACAGATACACACTGACAAAGCTCGCTCACTTGGGCTCAAATGGGGTGTTTAAAGATGTTATTGGAGCAGCCCAGTGTTAATCAAGAAAATAACCAATGGGCCGCTGATCTACGCGTTTCATGTGCCGGTCTTTGAGAAAGAAAAAAAAACCCCTGCAATACTGTGTCACCACAGTGATACATTACACCAGCACAAAGATCCCAGCGCCACTAATTAACCAAAACTAAATCCAATGGGCCGCCGATGTGCAAGTTTTATAGGCCGTTCAGACAACAAAAAATAAAATAAAAAATTAAAGTATGTATCGGCCCACAAAGCACATCGGCCCGGTATGCCCGATGGCCAGTCCAGCCCTGTTTGAACACCGAATGGAGAGTGACTGACAGCCGCAGCGGAGGGAAAAGCTTACGTGAGCTTGAATTTAATGACTTAAATATAAATTTCCATCCCTCATTATACTATAGTATGGCTTCATATAGTATAAAGTATACACGATTCACGTAGGTCACCTATTTTTTTTCCAAAACTGAAAGGTGAGTGGTTTTCATTGTTAATCACTGATGAGGAACATTAAGATGAAAACTCAGATAACATTTATAACATCACTATTGTTTTTCAATTACATTTTAAACTAGATACTAGTAGACTCAATAGTAAACTGGATTTGTGCTAAATTGAGATTTTGAACAATTTTTATTTTTGTTTCTTATGTATCCTTTTATTAAATTAATTTAATTTGTTTATTTTAGATCTGATGGAAGTGAATGAAGACAAACAGCATCAGTTTCAAAAACCTCATTATTCCACAAATAAAGATGGAGATGCAGTCGTTTTGAAGACTGAAGAGAATTTCGCACAGAAACAAGCTGCAAAATCTGGAGTCAAAGGATCTTTCACCTGTTCTGAGTGTGGAAAGAGTTTCATACGTAAACCAAACCTTATCCAACACATGATGATTCACACTGGAGAAAGAACGTACTTCTGTTCTGAGTGTGGAAAGAGTTTCATTCGTAAATCAACCCTGAACAAACACAGGATGATTCACACTGGAGAAAGGCCTTTTACATGCACTCAGTGTGGAAAGAGATTCAGTCAAAAAGAACCCCTTAAGACACACATGAGAATTCACTCTGGAGAAAAACCATTCACATGCAGTCAGTGTGGAAAGAGTTTCACTAAGAATAGCTCTCTCAAATATCATCTGCGCCTTCACTCTGGAGTGAGATCATTCAGCTGTGATCAGTGTGATAAAACATTTGTTTTTGAATCGGGCTTAAGAGCACACCTTAGTGGCCATGCTGGTGTGAGACCTTATGTGTGCTCTGACTGTGGAAAGACCTACATTACATCCAGCAACTTAAAAACACATCAGAGAATTCACACTGGAGAGAAACCGTACAAGTGTTCACACTGTGAAAAGAGTTTCACTGAGTCAGGAAGCCTGAAAGATCATGAGAGAGTTCATACTGGAGAGAAACCGCACCAGTGCTCTTCATGTGGGAAGAGTTACAGACATTCATCTACTCTACTTAATCATAAGAAAAAGCATTGCCCGAAAATGTCTAAGTGAGCAAAGTTCATTTCTTATAAGATCCAAGATGGCTGCCTCAGTGTGGAGCTCTCCGTAAACTCATAATATGTGTAAGCTTATTCTGACTAAACACAACTGCGATGCTTTTATTCTCATATTTTTTATATTTAATTTTTTTTTGTTTAATTATAATTTGTATTAAGTGTTTCCTGTTGTATTTGTATATGTGCACTGGAAGCCTCAGCACCAAAACAAATTCCTTGTGTGTGCAAGCACATCTGTCAATAAAGCTCTTTCTGATTTCTATAACTCGTAAATAAGCAAAAGATGGAATTACATTTACTACTACAGTAATTTAATCTAAAATAAGTATTGAAGTTTGATTGTTTGATATGGGGAACTGGTTTAAATGGTTGTGAACTGCATTGTAAGTGTTCAGTGTGTTGTTCTTCCGACACCCGTATTGATCCTCTGTTGTGTTGCACATGCGCATTAAACACTGAGTGTTTCTGTATACAAGATGAACTGAACAGTAAAGCAACAATGTGAAAATACTCATGTAAGTGTCATCGCTCAAGCAGTGCATGGTCATCTCATACAGATAACAGAATATTTCAGAAAACTAGAGTGTTGTCATCAAATTATGAAGGGGTTCTTTGTGGAGTTTAATTATTGTCATTGTACATATGAGGCATGTGTGAAACAATGTCAATAATAGTATCAAATATCATTCATATCACTAACAACTTGTTTTTAGTCTCTTTAGCTGTTTAGAGGTGATGAATTGAGTACATATTGAAGACTTTACTGGATTGAATCACTCTCTGAATCACTCTCTCCTATCTAAAATGTAAGAAATACAAATAATTGTAAAAAAAAAGTGATTTATTTAGGTATAATGAATAGATTTAATTTAGATTTCATTAAATCAAGGGGTTTAACATTATATTCATTGTATTGTATTGTTAATGTGAACCAGTACAGTGGAAAAAAAATGTTAATGCTATTTAAAAAAAAATATGGTAATAATATTACATTAGGTGTATAAAGGCCATTTCCCAGGCCAAACAGGGAGAGTGGATGAGATGGGAGAGTGTGGAACAACGCAAGTTGGGCTGGGAAGACCTTTGGTCAATGGAAGAGAGAAGGTCAACATATGATGTCCTCCCATCACCGCAGAACCTAAACCTCTGGGTAGGAGAGGATCCCTCTTGTCCTTTGTGTTCATCACCCGCCACATTAAGGCACATTCTGACAGGATTCAATTCAATTGTAAACTTTACTTACTTTTTAAATGGGTTACTTTTAAGGAATAATTTGATTAATTGTTACTCAATTCTAATTTGTTAAATTTCATTAATATTGCTTGTAATCTGTTGCCACAATTATATTGAATAGATAAAGCATATTCATTTTTACAGTGTACATCTCTGACCTGATACAGCTGCGTACATCCTCATGTAGTCTGCGATCAACTGGCCAGAGACTATTAGTTACCCCCCTTACACATTTTAAAACTAGGGGGGACCGTTCATTCCAAGTTATTGCACCCAGGTTGTGGAACGCTTTGCCTCCTTCCATCCGCGGCTTGGATTGTGTGGAAAAATGTAAAAGTCAGCTGAAAACTCTTCTTTTTAAAGAGGCTTTTAACTAGATTGTAGGGTGGTTAGGCTGGTCTAATGTGTACGTGTTGTTTATTTTATTTATTTTATTTTGTTTTTGTGATGCAATGTATTTATGCGAGTTGTTAATGCTTCCTTTTGTTGTGAAGCACTTTGTGATTTTCATCAGAGAAAAGTGCTATACAAATAAATTTTACTTGCTTTTACTTTTACTAACTAATCATTTCTGTTTCCAGTACAGATTCAGAACCCATATGTTGTGCAATGCGTATGCGTGGGTAACACAAAGTGAACGAATCACTCCCTGAGACAACTCAGTAGTCCTGAGTCATATTAATGATTCGTTCAAAATGAACGAATCATTCATGAACGACACATCACTACCAAGGGGCAACCTCCCCGTCTCTCTCTTGAAGCCAACACGGAAGTGAATTAAACTGCAATTCATCGAGTGGCCGCTTGAGGCAGGCTGCAAAAGCGAGTCAAATCTGTATCTCCCTCAAGTTAAAATGTCTAACTTCACAGCAGAAAAAACATGTTTACAGCCTGGTGGCACATAGTTGTTTTGGTCTATATCGGTAATTTTGCCCTTCATGACGACTGTGAGGGGGGTGAATTTTTTTACAACTCATCTGTTATAATTAAATTTAAGCCTTAAAGTTCTGCATAATTAAGGGCGTGGCCAATTGAGTGACAGGTGCCGCTGCTTTCACTGCTAGTCGCTTTAACCAGCGCTGTGTTTCCAGTTGTTTCCCTCGCATGCACTAATGGATGTCTGATAATTTCAGTGCGTTCTCTACGTCCATGCAATAGATGCACACCCTTGATTGAGTGCGGATTTCTAGTTCATACTTGAACTTCTGAGGTAATATCTTTGGTTTGACCCATCGGAGAAACTGAGAGGCGGCAAAAATCAGATTGTAAAATGGACTGAATTAAAGCTCTTTACGAACTTGACGTGAGATGCCGACTGACATGTGCTTTCCTTGAATCAAGGACTAAGCACAAGCTTAGAGCAATATTGTAAGTAACTAATACATTTTAACTAGCAGATAACAAACAATAATAATGCATCACGATTCACACAGTTGACTGCTTGTATGTTGTGAGAAATGTGTGTGATCTGTGTTATGTACTTGTATACATGCTCTTAACTAATTGCCCCTTGTGAGATTAATAAAGTTGATAAAAATGTAAATAGTCTCACTTTTAGTTACATCTTAAATGTTATAATATTTCGAATGGCAAAAACATAAACTTAAACCATTGGCTTTACTTTTTCAATTCAGCGCGATGGCAGTAGCATATAGTACCTCAGCTCCACCCACGTCCCGCCTCTTTGCCCATTTTAATTTATCTGGTAGTGACGAGAGGTAACGCACTGCCAAGATGGCGACGACCGGCCCCGCCCACTTTAGGCTTCAAAAACGCTCTTCAGAAACCTATGGGTGACGTCACGGATACTACGTCCATATTTTTTACAGTCTATGATCACTACCCCTCGTACACTTCCTCCTACAATGACGTAAAATGACGATTTGTTGTTCTGACTGTCTGAATGAGGCAGTAGACAATAGACAATCTTCAATAGACAAAGGAATATTAACAGTAATAATTAATTAATGGTTTAGTTCATGCGTCATACATTAAAGGAGTACACTTTAATGTTCACTTTAAAAAAACTTTTGCTGATAATTTACTCACCCCCATGTCATCCAAGATGTCCATGTCTTTCTTTCTTCAATCGAAAAAGAAATTAAGGTTTTTGATGAAAACATTCCAGCATTTTCTCCATATAATTCATTTTAATGGAAACCAAAAGGTTCAAAGTCCAAAAGACACTTTCAGTGCAAACTGTTTAAAGGGCTTTAAACGACACCAGACGATGAATAAGGGTCTTATCTAGCGATCGGGCATTTAAAAAATGAATACAAAAGTTTAAGTTTTATTAGCACACATGCTCGCCTTGCTCTGTTCTGTGATGCGTGTTCGTGACTCTCCTGCTCAAACTCATACATCAAAATGAAGGAATATTTTTTCGAGTCATCTCATTCGTTCAACGAATGAAATGAATCGAAAAAAGATTAATTCATTTTGATGAACAAGTTCGAACAGGAGAGTCGAGCAAGGCGAGCATGTGTGCTTATAAAATTTAAACTTTTGTATTTATTTTTTTAAATGACCGATAGTATCGCTACATAAGACACTTATTCATCGTCTGGTGTTGTTTAAAGCCATTTGAAGCTGCACCAGTGGCGGCACCAGAGATTTTCGGTTGCAGGTGCTATGGGAAAGCTTAACACTTAGGACTTGAATTTTGGGGCGTTTTATTACGGAGGTCGCATCGGACCACCCTTGGTATAGCCTACACACACGTCTCTGTGACGACGAGCGGTGTGTCTGCACCTTCACAGTCTCGTTTTCCTTTTGACTCGAACGTGGACGTTTAGGGGGCAAAAAACGATGCATTGTGGTGTTTTACTTAGCTAAATTTACAAACGAAAACAAGCTGCAATCACAAACGTTAAGGTAAAACGTTCAGCGGGAGCTGCACCCATTGGTCAAAGATCACAGGCCGCGCATTATTTTAAACTAAATATATCGTTTTTTAATTATTATTTATCCATTTTTTACAACATGAAAAAGACCAAAAGGTTAATTTTGCGCCAGAGTTTCCTCTTTAACTCAGAGTTTCTTCTTTATCTTCATTTTCTACTTTGGACAAGGGGGAATTTTCAAGCCCCACTTCCCCATCGCCCCAACACAATGCTACTGAAATACGCAACAAGCTTAAAATGTTCCAATTTATTGAAGTACAAGTAGTATTTAAAAACAAACTAACTATCTATCTACATCAAATCACATAACAGCAAGTTGAAAAATAAAGAAAATAAAAGTACAGCTGTGTCATGACTTACATGGAATTGAAAAATAGAGAAATTAAAAGTGCAGCTGTGTCAAAATGTTAAAAAAAGAAAAGAAGAGAAATCAATTTGGCAAGACAGGTCTCTTTTCTATTTTCTAATTAGGGTACCATGTTTGATATGGGATTAAAATGATGGGCAGTGTATGAGATATAAACTAATGATTAATTATTTCTATATTCCTTTGTTCTGATCGGAGCATGTGAGCGGCGAGTGCATTTCTGAATATTCCTCGCTCATTGCGCTCAACCCTGCTGGTTCGAAAATATGTGGAATAAGGGCTGCCTCCGACTAAAGTTTTTTTCTACTCGACTAGTAGTTGTTTATTTAGCTAAGCCATTAGTGGACAAATCGCCCCTTTATATTGATTTAATAACTTAAATAGGCTATACAGTACAATGATAAAGCCTCACTCAAGCGTACGAGCCGGCAAAAATTAATGTGTAAAAAATAGCAAGTAGTTTATTAATAAACTGGTGTTTTCTGCGTTGACCATGCAGACTCGCCATGAACTAATAAAGAAATAAAGGCATAACAAGGAAAATTTCCTCCCGTTGGCGCGCCCCACCTGTCACGTCTCCATAGAGAGCCTAAGTCCTTCCCCTTCTGATCGACCACCATGGGACCTTATTTTAACCGGTTCCCCTTATCAAACAATCAAACTTCAATACTAATTTTAGATTAAATTACTGTATTAAATTAGCCTGGGTTTCCCCATGCTGCCTTGCCGCAGCACGATTTTATTCGTCAGTATATATTTTATAGGCAGTCTGGACACCATGAACCAAATTTTCCCCTGAAATAGGGAACCAATCACAGAACGGGGAGGGAGCACAGGCGCATTTGAGAGACGTACAGGCGCATTTGACACATTAGACTTTCGTTGCACCCAATATGGTAATAAGTGTAATACAGCTCGGGCATTCGTAAACCACGCCTCAAATACGTGAAAATGAACATGTGGTTTCCAGACCACGTTTCATTATCAATGATACGTGGTCTAGCGTTAGCCAGGCTAGTATTAAATGTAATTCCATCATTTGCTTATTTACAAGTTATGGACGTGAACTGTGCTCACTCAGACCCCTTGGGCAATGATTTTTCTTATGTTTCTGTAGATTAGATAAATGACTGAATCTCTTCCCACATGAAGAGCACTGGTGCGGTTTCTCTCCAGTATGAACTCTCTCATGATCTTTCAGGTTTCCTGACCGAGAGAATCTCTTTCCACATTGTGAACACTTGTACGGTTTCTCTCCAGTGTGAACTCTCTGGTGTTGTTTTAAGTCGCTGGATGAAATCAAGGTCTTTCCACAGTCAGAGCACATATAAGGTCGCACACCAGTATGAATATGCTCATGCTTTTTTAAAGAACCATGATGTAAAAAACTCTTTCCACATACAGAACAAAAGTGAGGCTTCACACCGGTATGAACTTTAATGTGTGTTCTTAAGCCTGATTCAAAAACAAATGTTTTATCACACTGATCACAGCTGAATGATCTCACTCCAGCGTGACGGCGCAGATGATCTTTGAGAGAGTTTTTGTAACTGAAACTCTTTCCACACTGAGAGCATGTGAATGGTTTTTCTCCAGTGTGAATTCTTATGTGATCGTTTAGGTGTCCTTTACATCTGAAACTCATTCCACACTGAGTGCATGTATAAGGCTTTTCTCCAGTGTGAATCATCTTGTGTGTGTTCAGGTTTGATTTAGATACAAAACTCTTTCCACACTCAGAACAGGTGAAAGATCCTTTGACTCCAGATTTTCCAACTTGTCTCTGTGTGAAATTCTCTTCAGTCTTCGAAACGACTGCATCTCCATCTTCATTTGTGAAATAATTAGGTTTTTGAAACTGACGCTGTTTGTCTTCATTCAGTTCCATCAGGTCTAAAATCAACAAATTAAATTCCCATAACTTAAAAAAGATACTTGAGAAACAAAAATAAACATGGTTCAAAATGTAAATTTAGCCCAAATCCAGTTTACTCTTGAGTCTACTAGTATCTAGTTTCAGATGTTATTTTTATGTAAATTTTCATCATTTTCCTCATCAGTCTTTAAAGAGAATGAAGGAAAACACCAACCTATTTGTTCCTCTGTATCTTCATCTTTTATTCTGCAGGGTTCTTTCTTAATCTCCATCTTTACAATAGTATGTCCGTAGTTTCTCCTGGAGTAATTCCTCCTGCGCGCTTCTTCTCTTCCTGTGGGAAGATGGGAATATTCCCCAGCATTTAAACTCTCATGAACGGCTGTGGGAGCTTCACTGACTGAAGGAGTGAATTGTGGTCGTTGTTGCTCATTTAGCAGATGATCATCACACTTACAATACACTCGAGATTATCCAGGTGCAAATCGACGTTTAGAAACAATTCCGTGATTACTGAATATACATTTTGGTCTTCATATCAAGCTCAAAATGTAAATTCAGAAATCATGGAATTTGGCTGTTAAGTGGTGATTCAAAATTATTGTTATTGATTGATGAGAAGTAACAAAGTACAAATACTCAAGTTGATTTTTTTCAGATATTTTTACTTTACCATTTATTTTTCTGCCAACGTTTTACTTTTACTCCTTACATTTTTAACACGAATATCGGTACTTTCTACTCTTATATTTTACACAACTGCCTTGTTACTTTAGTTTCAAATAATTTCAGTGGAGTTACCATTATTATTTTTTCGCGTCATCAACCCTTCGCAGTGAGTTTGACTGATCGAACTAATCATTATCCACCATTTTGTCCAACAAAGCAGTTAGGAGAGTTAGTAGATTAACATTGGTGGATTTAAACTTGAAAAACAGTGTGTACTGATGTCTTGCCACAGTTAAAACAACATTCATTCTTATGTAAATTCAGGTTTATTTGATGCTAAATCAACTAGAAGAAAGAGATGATCAGCTCACGAGCAGCTTTAACTGAGACTCTACAACGATCTGTCTGACATATCAATGTTATAGAGCCACAAAACAGTATTTGTTGCCTCCGCCGAAGTCCATCAAAACCTGACAATGGACACCTCGGAGGGCATTAACCCGCTTACCATGGTCACTTGCCAAATAAAACATTTTTAAAACATTAGTTTATGTTTTAATTAGGCTAAATCTAGTTTTTACAAATAATAACTTGCCTGACGGTTTATTTAGCAACCGGAGATATTTATAGTCCGCTCAGCTTGTAGAACCCTTCAGGTTCAAAAATGCATTTTTTTTTTTTCATGAAACACAAAGGTAGGCATAGTTATTTTTTTATTACACATAAAACAATTAATCAATAAAAAAAAATAGTTCTGAGCACCAGCGATTTGCGCTTATAGAGGGCAATAAATTAATCAGATCAAAGAGAGGGTCATTTGCCTACATGCTAGCTTTTTTATTTACAATTAATTTCAACGTTTCCATTTATAGTGCAATTTAAAAAAGTCGGCCAGTCAGGAGGATCCTCAAAAGCTTGGTAACGTTACTGCTGCCCATGATGGGCACTTGATGCAGACAGTACGTTGCTCCAGCTTCATCTCTCACGGAGAGACGGAGCCCAGTAAGCCCGCAGACTGCCCTCGCATCGATGGCCTGTCACCGACATTATTTGACGGCTCTCCAGTCCAGCATCGGAGTCGACCTACAGCATCCCAGTCGTCAAAGTTGCCATATTCTCCATAAATGTTAAAAGAAATAACGAAGTCGCTCATTGTTGTATTTAGGCTATAGTAATGCGTTAGATCTAACGTTAGATGTTTGTTTTGATAGAGCGTTTGACTGCCTGTTGCTATGGTTACTCACAGCTGTTGTAGGCAGCGCATTTATTTATAAATTTCGAATGGTAAACAGGCAGTTTCACCAGAACTACTTTACTAGGTGTTCTCTATCACTTTTTAACGGACACCCTGCAGCCAATCAGAATCGAGTATTCACCCAGACCATGGTATAAAGTGACAGTAACTAAAGGGGGCGGGTCTTTGTGAACGGTCAATTGGATTGGAATTTACGTTGCACTTAATGCACCACTACAAAGACGACTCGACAGATTCGGGGGGCATTCATTCACGTCATTTCATTACATGCATGCTGATTAATTTAAACGTTAAGAGTAAGAATACAAAAGAGAAATGGTGTATTCTCTCAGAATCACAATTGAATTAACATTGAATTAATATCTTGCTACTCAATCAGAGTCTTATTAACCTGGAGTCCCAGTCTCTGTCACAATAATCAAAGGCTATGTAATGTTTTAGGCCTATTGGCAGACATCCATTTAAAATGTAGGGTAGGCAATGGCATATAAAGAACCTTTGTTCCATATCAAGTTTCTCAGCTTGCACTTTTCCAGCTGGCATTCGACTGACATTAAACGTTTAAAATGTTGTTGAAATAATGTCAGTTTATGAAAAAAAAAAACATGAATTCAATGTCAAAACAACTTTGAACACCAAATAGTTGAAGTGGTGTTGTTAATTCACTATGGATTCAACATAGAAATATCAAGAATTTTTGAGTTGTACGTCAAATCAACATTATTTGTAGGCTACAAGCTTAGAGTCGGCTCATTCGCGAATCGCGAAAAACCCATCAAAAGCTCATTCGCGAACGACCCATCATCACTAACGACTAACGCTCATGAATTGCGAACGACCCATCATCACTAACGGCTAACGCTCATGAATTGCGAACGACCCATCATAACGCATAGTCGGACAGGACAGGACACACAAGGAACAACACAAGCCAGTCAGTCAACGAGAGACAGGTATGGCGACGAGCCCAAATAATCCATAAGCATTCTTCTCCAAATGGTATAGCCTATTGCTTAACAAGCTTAATTTAATTTTGCCCAATTTTAATTTTTAATTTTAGTTCTGGCCTGTTAAGGGGCAATAAATATCAAAAGTTCCAAAACATCTATTGTGTTATTTGCATTGATCCACTATATAAACATATTTACATACATGGCATTTGATTGGAGGCTAGTTTCACTTTGTCCCACAGCAACATTTTTTTATGAATGTGTGTACAATGTTTCATGTTTCTGATAATGTATAAAGTGTCCATTTCATTATAATATTCAGATTTATTATAAATAATTGAACATGCACATGTATTTTAAGTTCCGTTAAATAGGGGTAGAGGTGGGGTCACATTTGAACATTTAAAATTTAATTTTCCTTGAAAGTAACGCAATAGTTACTTTCTTAAGTAACTAGTGACTTTTAAAATTTGTAACTGAGTAACTAATTTAGTTACTTTTTGAAAGAAGTAACTAGTAACTGTAACTAATTACTTTTTAAAAGTAACTTGCCCAACACTGAGGGTAAGTCACACTACAGAATCCTACTTTTGTTCTGTTCTGAAGTGAGGAGCATAACGTCCCTCTAGTAACGTTAGCTCTCCTGGTGCTGGTGTTATCCAGCTTGACAAGTTAGCATTAGCTTGTTAATAACAGTAAAGCAGGGGCGGTATATATATATCCCACTTTATATATAATATGGTTTAAGTGGTTTAATATATATATATATATATATATATATGAAGAGTTCAAATGCAAAAGCCTCTAAATGCCATTTGAAATTTTCTTCTAAAATGACCATTTTTATCAAGCTTGTATGTTTAAGTTCAGTAATTTCACTTAAATGACAATTAATAGGTAATCTTCATTGCCATTTAAGTGAAATTACTGAACTTAAATATACAAGCTTGATAAAAATGATCATTTTAGAAGAAAATTTCAAATGGCACTTAGAGGCTTTTGCATCTGAACTCTTCATATATATATATATATATATATATATATATATATATATATATATATACAGTATATATTTAATATTTAAGGTGGGATATACGTATGTATTTATTATATTATAATTTGCCATTATTGCCTATTTGCCACAAATATACCTGTGCAACTTAAAGGGTTAGTTCACCCAAAAATGAAAATTAAGTCATTAATTACTCACCCCCATGCTGTACCAACCCCGTAAGACCTTCGTTCATCTTCGGAACACAAATGAAGATATTTTTGATTGAATCTGAGAGCTGTATCACTCTTCCATTGGCTTCCTAAGGGACTGGCTCTTGACGGCCCATAAAGTCATTAAAGAAAATGTTTAAATGTTCCATGTGCCTACAGCGGCTCAATTATAAGTTTATCAAGCGACGAGACTACTTTTTGTGCGAAAAAAAAACATAAATAATGGCTTTATTTGACTATTCCATTACTTCCTTATTGGCGCATGCGTGAGAACTGAGACGAGGACGATCTCCTTCGACTTGTTACCGGCTGCTCACCGCTTAGGAGTTTTACCGCCCCCTACCGTATAAGATGATGTGCTGATATAGCTGGAAGCGCAAAACTTTCTGTTTACAAGCAGAGGAAGATGTGCGCTGTACATACGCTTTTCAATTAGCGTATTTTCCGCACTACAAGGTGCACTTAAAAGCCTTTAATCCTCTCAAAAAACGACAGTGTGCCTTATTATCATCTTATACGGTAGGGGGCGGTAAAACTCCTAAGCGGTGAGCAGCCGGTAACAAGAAGTGGTCGAATGAGAACGGTCTCGTCTCAGTTCTCGCGCATGCGCCAATAAGGAAGTAATGGAATAGTCGAATAAAGCTGTTATTTATGTTTTTTTCGCACAAAAAGTAGTCTCGTCGCTTGATAAACTTATAATTGAGCCGCTGTAGGCACATGGAACATTTAAACATTTTCTTTAATGACTTTATGGGCCGTCAAGAGCCAGTCCCTTAGGAAGCCAATGGAAGAGTGATACAGCTCTCAGATTCAATCAAAAATATGTGTTGTGTGTTCCGAAGATGAACGAAGGTCTTACGGGGTTGGTACAGCATGGGGGTGAGTAATTAATGACTTAATTTTCATTTTTGGGTGAACTAACCCTTTAAGACTGGTTTTGTGATCCCAGGTCACAAATGTGATTTATAAAGGTGTAAGATTATAACAAAAGTTATAATTGATTATGGCTTACAGCTTATAAAAACCCCAAATAAAAATCTCAGAAAATTGATTACATTAAAAATAAAAAATTTTAAATACAGAAATGTCGGCCCTTTGAAAAATATAATCAATAATCATGCATATTTATATAGTTATATATACAAAATATATTAGTTTCACCTTTTAATTTGAATTACTGAAATAAAAAACTTTTGCACAATATTAAAATTTTCACCGGTTTCACCTGTAAATGAACTTAACTTGCACTAACTACAATGTTGGTAATAATTTAATGAATAAGCTTCAAGTGAACTGTATGTGTATTTCTTGTCTGTAATTGCTCTTAAAGGGTTAGTCCACCCAAAAATGACAATTCTGTCAGTTTTTACTCACCCTCATGTTGTTCCAAACCTCTATGTGTTTATTTGTTCTGCTGAACACAAAGGAAGATATTTGGAAGAATGTTTTAATCAAACAGATCTCATTCCCCATTGACTACCATAGTAGGAAAAAATACATACTATGGTAGTCAATGGGGAATGAGATCTCAACCCTTTGTGCCCTGGATGTGCATCCCACAAATCTCTATCAATTGCAATATGCTCTCCTATCAATATGGGCCAACATTTCTAAAAAATGGTTTCAGCAACTTGTTGAATCAATGCCACGTAAAATTAAGGCAATTCTGAAGGCGAATGGGGGTCAAACACAGTATCAGTATGGTGTTCCGGTCCCACTTTATATTAAGTGGCTTTAAGTACTATGTACTTACATTGAACAATAAGTACAATGTATTATTGTGTTCCTGTTGTATTGTAAAACACTTTTGCTGCTATTGAGGTGTGATAGGGGTAAGGTTAGGGACAGGTGTGGTGGTGTGGGTCGGTTTAAGGGTAGGTTAAGGTGTGAGGGGAGGGTCAACTGTGTAATTACAAATGTAATTACATAAATTAATTATAGCTGTAATTACATGTTGGAATTTTAAAATGTAAGTACAATGTAAAAATATGTATGTACACAATAAGTCCATTGTATCAAATTATTAATTTCAATGTAATTACATAGTACTTAAAGCCACTTAATATAAAGTGGGACCGGTGTTCCTAATAATCCTTTAGGCAATTGTATATTTATTATTTGGAGGCACCTCACTATATAACAAAGTATTGTAGTATTACTTGTAGTATTCTTGTAGCTAACTATCCATTCTTCAGGGGAAGGACCAGACATTACCCTTTACTACGGCTGGATAGGGCTCCTTTAATAGTTTTATATGAGTGTTACGACTTTCCAACTGATCTTATAACCATTCAGCAAAATCAAGCCACTTTTATGCACAATGAATTAATTGTAAAACTGTTTCCAATGGACTCGAGTACACAAAATCCGCACAAAATAATTAATTTTCAGTACTTTTTTGGACAAAATTGTTTGACTGTGGCGAACAGGACAGCCAAATGACGTGAGAGAATGTCGCGAGGCCGGTGGTGCGATTGCTAATGAGTAACACCTGCGAGCACACCGGTCTGGCATCTCTCACGGAGGAGCGTAAGCATAAAGGGGAGCGACAATGTGGATGATCGAGAGAGGAACGGGCCTGCTTTTGTTTGTATTTTATATTTTATTTTGGTAGCCAGCAGCCGTCCGCGAGGGGCTGCTAGCAGGTATTTTTATTTTATTTTGGGTAGCCAGCAGTTTTGTGAGGGACTGCTGGCAGGTATTTTGTTTATTTCATTTAAATAAAGTTTTATTTTGATTGTTATCCAGTTCCTGCCTTCTTCCCTGAACCTTGCTACAAAAACAAATAACCAAATAGCTAATGTAAGAGCCTAAATGACCTTATTTTTTTGAAATAGATAGCAGCTGTAAATCAAGTATCCATTTCATCTTCTCTCAGATAAAAAGTTGTGTTGTGTTTTTCCATATATGTTGTTGTGTTGTGAGTCCATATTATGAGACAGAGGAATCTCCTCTTTAAATATACATAGAAAAACAAATGGAGCCATTTTACTAAAAAGCCCCTTGATTGAAAAGTAAATTAAATCTATTCATTAAATCTAAATAAACCACTAGTTTTATTTATTTTTAATTCTCACATTTTTCACAATATGCAGAGAGTGATTCAATCCAATAAAGTCTTCAATATGTTCTCAATGCATCACTTCTAAACAGCGAGACTAAAAACAAGTTGTGATATGAATGCTATTTGATAGACTATTGTTGCCATTGTTTCACAAATGCCTCACATGTACAATGAAGATCCATTGTTGACATTACTATTAAAAAGGGGTGTTTTCGGCAGCTGCTGACTTGTAACTTGTAAAGTAATTAAGTTACTTTTTCAAAGTAACTGTGGCAACACTGCGAACAATCTAATAATTCCATAAGTGAAACAAAAGTGTGAAATGCCTCATGCACAACGAAGATAATGAAAAAAAAAAAAAACAACAACACATACCTTCATAAATCACAGTGGTTTATGGCTACTAGTTTTCTGAACTATTATTCTTGTTCCATCTGTATGAGATGACCATGACACTGACATGAGTATTATGCTTTACTGTTCAGTTCATCTTGTATACAGTTAAACCCAGTGTTTACAACAGAGGATCAATACGGGCGTCACAAGAACAACACATGCAACACATACAATGCAGTCCACAACCATTTTAACCAGTTCCCCTTATCAAACAAATTTTAGATTAAATTACTGTATTACATGTAATTTAATCTTTCGCTTATTTACAAGTTATGGAAGTTAACTTTGCTCACTCAGACACCTTCAGGCAATGATTTTTCTTATGTTTCTGTAGAGTGGATGATTGTCTGTAACTCTTCCCACATGAGGAACACTAGTGCGGTTTCTCTCCAGAATGAACCCTCTCGTGATCTTTCAGGCTTCTTAACTGAGTGAAACTCTTTCCACAGTGTGAACACTTGTACGGTTTCTCTCCAGTGTGAACTCTTTCATGAACTTTCAGGCTTCTTAACTGAGTGAAACTCTTTCCACAGTGTGAACACTTGTACGGTTTCTCTCCAGTGTGAACTCTTTCATGATCTTTCAGGCTTTTTAACTGAGTGAAACTCTTTCCACAGTGTGAACACTTGTACGGTTTCTCTCCAGTGTGAACTCTTTCATGATCTTTCAGGTTTCTTAACTGAGTGAAACTCTTTCCACAGTGTGAACACTTGTACGGTTTCTCTCCAGTGTGAACTCTCTGGTGTGTTTTTAAGTCGCTGGATGTAGTGAAGGTCTTTCCACAGTCAAAGCACACATAAGGTCTCACACCAGAATGAATTCTCTCATGCCGTTTTAAAGATCCAAGACGTGAAAAACTCTTTCCACATCCAGAACAATAGTAAGTTTTCACAGCAGAATGAACATTAATGTGTTTATTTAAGTCTGATTCAAAAACAAATGTTTTATCACAATGATCACAGCAGAATGATCTCACTCCAGAGTGACGGCGCAGATGATAATTGAGAGCGCCTTTCTGACTGAAACTCTTTCCACACTGAGAGCATGTGAAAGGTTTTTCTCCAGTGTGAATTCTCATGTGATCTTTAAGGTGTCCTTTGTGAATGAATCCCTTTCCACACTGAGTGCATGTATGAGGCTTTTCTCCAGTGTGAATCTTCATGTGTGTGTTCAGGTTTGATTTACGTATGAAACTCTTTCCACACTCAGAACAGGTTAAAGATCCTTTAACTCCAGATTTTCCAGCTTGTTTCTGTGTGAAATTCTCTTCAATCTTTGAAACGACTGCATTTCCATCTTTATTTGTGAAATAACTCAGTTTTTGAAACTGATGCTGTTTGTCTTCATTCACCTCCATCAGGTCTACAATAAACAAATTAAATTCCCATAATTTAATAAAACGATACATGAGAAACAAAAACAAATCCAGTTTACAACTGAGACTACTAGTATCTAAATTTAGATGTTATTTTTATGTTAGTTTTCATCTTAAAGGGCTGGTTAATTATGATTTCACGTTTCTAACTTTAGTTTGTGTGTAATGTTGCTGTTTGAGCATAAACAACATCTGCAAAGTTACAATGATTAAAGTTCAAAGCAAAGGGAGATATTTGCTTTTAAAGAAATCGTTTTTTTAAGGACTACAACAAACGGCTGGTAGGAACTACAGGAGGTTCCTCCCGGGTTAGTGACATCACTAACCCTAAAATTTGTTTATAAATCCCCATAAATCACACCCCCGGAACACACGGTCCATGTTGAGAAGAGGAAGAGCTGTTGTAGTCGAGCACATTTGTGAGTCAGCTCAAACTGTAGCATCCATATTTTCACATGCAATAGAAAGTCACTCTGTGTGTATCTCACAACAGTTCCCTTGCGATCGATTTATAGATTATCCTGACAGAATATCCCAAGGGACTGTTCTTTATTTATTTAAGGGGCCACCGGAGGAGATTTGTGACCTGTAGTCAAAAAAGACTTGACCCTCCCTTCACCAGCAATAATTTATTTCTATGACCCTCCAATATGATTGTGAAAAAAGGCATGACCCTCCCCGATAACTTATTGATTAATTCTGTACAGGTTTGCGCTAGGCAAAGATGTTCAGATAGCCATTCCATGATAAATGACTAAACTACTGCTTTCTCATCTTGCTAGGGCTGTAACGATAGACCAAACCTACAATTTGGTTTGTATCATGATTTTTGATTACAAAAAAATAAAATAAAATAAAAAAATCATGTTTTCGGTGCTGATGCAGTGTTGCATCATGTAATCATGTAAAATGTAGGGGTGGCGCTGCCAATAAAGTATCTTAAAGCTGCCACAAAGAACCGGCAAAAGTAATGATTACGAATAATATAGCAAGAGGACATTTAATTGTTTATTAATAAACAAGTTTTTGTTAGTGTCAGCTTGAAATATAAAGGTGACAATGCTGACTCAAGATCTTCGCAGACTCGCAGTAGTGAACGCACCAGAGAGAAATGCACATTTCATACGGATTACGTAAGCAGAGAGCAGTCTGTAGTCGGTTTTCTTTTGTTTTGAATTGTTCCATTAAAAACTAGACATGTAAAGCTTTCTATACATTTATCAGGTCTGTGAGTCAAGTAGCCTACCGTTGGCTATACGCTGAGTTTCGGTTCATTTATTAGACGAGTCTTGTTCACACGCCGGCGCCTCCGTGTCATGATGATTTTATCCTTTATTTACTTCTTATTTATTAAATCCAGGCAATTGGTTGATGAAACATTGATCAAAATTAAGATAAAATTAATAAAAAACAAAATTCCCTTTGAAAGAAATGCTTTGTGTTTTCTGTTTAAGGTCTGTGAAAGTTTTAAAGTCACTTTCAGAGCGGTCATGTCCATAACGGAGGGCTATCACGTCCGTAACATTTTTTTTCCCTCATAAATGCGAACACCAAAAAAATAAAAAGAATATTTTATGTTATCTGTATTAACAGTCTCAAACCAGGACAATTTGAAGGTGGTTGTGGTTATGTTATTTCGACATATGTGTGCATACAACAATCAAGATGTGCATTTGTAAATCCAGCTATATTTGCTTTTTATTAATTCAATCCAGGCAATTGGTTGATGAAAAATTGATTAAGATACAATTTATACAAAACGACATTTACTTTAAAGAAAGGCTTTCTACAAAACAACACTTAATGAAGTGGTAAAAATCATGTCTGACCCACTCAATGTCTCCCGGTTTATTGCGTAGGCTATACTTTTCATAATCAACATAGTTGATAAATATGAAACTAAATGCGCTTATTATGGGTACAACACATATACAGACTAGCTGTACAAATTGCTGAACATTCATTTAATTCTGAATTTTGCACACAAGTTGAAAGGCATTTGTTTGTGCATAGTTAAACATATCTGCATCATTTATCAAGTTCACTGATAATTGTGCAGGCATTTATTACTCAATTATAAAACTAAAATCATAATAAAGTGGTAGCTTCCCTTTCAATCGCGGTGGCACTGCCATTTTCATCTTTCTTCTGTGGATTTCTTCAGCTCCCGATTAGATTCATTCAACCTCACAGCGCACACACCTCACGAATTCAAGCCTACAGCTCCCGAACTTTTTATTTAGGTTTAAAAATAAAATTATTAAAAAGAGGCTCGGCTTGTATCTTCCTAGCACACGACACGAGCTGCAACATGCAAGCACAACCGATTTCCGCGCGATTTCTTCCTAGTGAAAAAAAAAATCATCTGCAAGCTCCTAAAACAGCAAAAAACACCCACCTGAAGGGAGTATATATATAAACAGACATTTCCGTATTAAATGCATTTTGGTGTAGGTCTATGTATTTTATTATGGCAATTTCAAATAATACTAATAGTAATTTAAAAATGTGGTAGCCCTATGCCCAACACATCACATTCCACTGTTATGGTGGCAATTTCAGTAGATTTACTTACCAACATTGTTGTGGAAACACAATGAGAATGAAAACTAAAATATGGTTGTATCATGCTACAGGGCGCATTATATCTGCTGCAGTTCTGGCGCCTCAGTCCCAATACTGTAAAACTCGATGTACATTCACGTATATACGCAATCGCAAAAGTTGATCATTTGCTCGTGCTTTAAAGCTTTGCCGGATAAACATTCCATTGCCATTCTGTTCTAATGCACTTTTTCAGAGCAGTGCCAAACTGGATTTTTGTTGGGTCAGACCCATCTGATTGCGATGGGGGGCCGAGGCCGAGAGAGCTACATGGAAAAAATATGCACCAAACAAGCCACTTTGAAATGTAGCTGTTTTGATGAGTACAAAAGTTGGGTGAACCTCCTCTATAGACTAAAGAAAGTTGGATGACCCTCCCTTATTTTCCTCCAGTGGCCCTTTCCATAAATACCGAACGGTCCATAATTGAAGATAGTTATCTCCACATCAGCAACATAAATTCATCAACTAATCATTCAGAGACGTGTTAATCAGTGAGTGCATTCACACCGGGAATCTGAGCTGCGCGTGAGCGTCGAACCGGACCGCCGCGTGAGCATGTTAATCACTGTGCATTCACACCGCGAGACGGAGCGGCACGTGAGCAGCAGTGAAGCGCGGTTTCGGCGCCCAGTCTAGTTTTTGCTGCGCTCAATTAAAGTGAAAGCACACTTTTGATGGACAAAATAAATGGGATTTCATCCAAAAATTTGCATGTCTGGTGTGTTTTAACAAGAACTGAAGTAGTCAGAAAAGAAAATGAAGACTTAAAAATATTTATAGAAAAAGTGTACCCATTTAAACTTGTTTTTATTATTTCCCAATCGTTTCCCTGCACATGCTCCACTTGTCCTGCTTAGCTTGGCTGGACATGTGTCAGATGAGAGAAGAACTTTGAAAAATATAACTTGCCATTGAAGTACAAGTGATTGCAATAGGCCTGTGTGTGAGAGAGAAATATCTATATACTGCAAGGCTATGTTTATTTGAAATAAAATGCTATTAAATTGAAATGCTAAATATATCTTTTTTTCTTTCGTTTTTTACTGAATGTGAAAAGGAAATGGTTCTTCCACAACACTGCACTTCAGATGTGTGTGAATTTCCCACACCAGGAGTAATGTATATGGCTCTGTTAAATAGCGATTATCTGTTCAAAATGTTCTATGCAAACTGTTCAATTAAAGAGAAGATAGAAAATACATTGTTGTGTGTGCTGTAAAGTGGTTTGAAAAAATGAAATCGGAATCGGCAAAATCGGTATCGGCAGGTCAAACTCAAGGAAAAATCGGAAATCGGGATTGGCCTAAGAAAACTGTAATCGATGCATCTCTAGGCAGAACAGTTTCTGACATTTTCTGTCTGTATGAGGTAATCGGAGCTGCTAACACACACACACACTCTTACTGAACTTCAACATGCTATATAAAATTATCTGTGGGGTATTTTGAGCTAAAACATCACATACACAGTCTGGGGACATCAGAGATGTATTTTACATCTTGTGAAAAGGGCATTATACCACCCATTTAATGTTCCTCATCAGTGATTAAAGAGAATGAAGGAAAACACCAACCTATTTGTTCCTCTGTATCTTCATCTTTTATTCTGCAGGGTTCTTTCTTAATCTCCATCTTTACAATAGTATGTCCGTAGTTTCTGCTGCTGCTTCTCCTGTGGGAAGATGGGAATATTCCCCAGCATTTAAACTCTCATGAACGGCTGTGGGAGCTTCACTGACTGAAGGAGTGAATTGTGGTCATTGTTGCTCATGTAGCAGATGATCATCACACTTACAATCACTCGAGATATCCAGGTGTAAATCGTCATTTAGAAACAATTTAATGATTACTGAATTTACACTTTGGGCTTCATATCAAGTGTGATGCAAAATTATTGTCTTTCACTGCATCTTACATTGAGTGTAGAATTTAGGTTACAAGGAAAAAACAAACTTGTGCTAACTGAGTGACTAAAATCCTCATTTCCTTGAATAGCCATGTAAGCAATATAAGGTAAACCCACAATCCAATTTAAAAAAAGTAATAATAGAAGAATACAAAGAATTTTACCCAATCATCTAGTCTACAGAAACATCATAACAATGATTGCCTGAAGGTGTCCAAGGCCCCGTCCACACTACTATGTTTTCGTTTAAAGGGGGGGTTAACTGCTTTTTTTCTTTGCATGATTCAGTTCATGGGGTGCACTATAACATGTATTCGTGGTGGAACAATCATTCATAAAAACGCATAAAACTTTAGTTTACAAAGACGTGAAACTCATCGAGTGGTCTGGGGTGTTCACTGATATGCTCACACAAAAATCGCTACAAAATATGCTTTCCAACAGGTTTTATCGTAGTTTTTGTCGGACTTCATTT